TCAAGCAAAATGGTAATGTTAAGCACCTACCGTACCAAGTCCTTGGGAGAAGATGGGTGCACAGACGGAGGGCACTTAGAAAACAGCCTGGCACACCATGTGTAATACTCAGGTTCCAGCTTTGCTACCCATTTAGCATATCCGTACAAACTTTTAGCTACATTCTCCACACATCCTAAGGGAAGACACTCTTCTTTCAAATAGCTTTCTGGATCCATCAAGGCAGGGAAGCTGAGCTTGAAACTGGGGGCAGTTGTCAAATAACCAGGGTCACCTGCTTTTAGTGGGAATTCTAGAAATCATCTTGGGGACCATGTTCACATCAGCATAGTACAAACCTGGTAGCTTTCTCGGGCTCTATAAACATTTCATATTGTTCTCAAGCTCAGGTGGAATAAGCCCCTATTCCATGACTCACACCAGAAAACTGCATGAAATGAAGCTTCCAAGACTCACCTGATCTGTGCACATCTTGAAATCTCAAAGTCTAAAAAGCTCAATTGCTCAGTAATTGTTCAGGCGGAAGCTCGAGAAGTCACTGACTGCTGACAGGTGGGGAGTATGAACTACATGTCTTGTTCATAAAGTCCCTTATTCAACAAGACTCACCAATACCACATCAGCAGTGCAGATAGGGACAAAAACCACCTCAGGAGCTCAAAGGACCCTTGAGAAGCCAGCCCCAGTGAATGGATAAGGAAATGGAGGCTGAGGGAGGGACCTGTGACAGCTGGGACCATCCCGGGACCAGTCTCCTGGCAGAGCTCATTCCAGAATTCTCTTCCTCCTGCTCCTTTGACAATGTGGAATACTCAGAAGCCGGTTTTCAGCTTGAACTCTGCTGGACTTTCTCAATGTGGCAGGCAGTGTCAACCATGCAAGAAGATGGCCTATCCTCAGACATTCTTGGAAGTCCACAGTCTTGAACATTTCTATGTCCTTAAGGTTTCATACACCTAGTTGCAGAGGCACCTGCACTGGGGAGCACTCCTCCACCCATCTGTCTGAAGTCACTGAACTTCTGGGCTCTACCTGTCCACAGAAGACCTCAACTGTTCACTCTTTTGTCTGATAGTAACTTTGTCTACAGCTTATATGTGTTTAGACTCCATGAGACAGACATTTTCACATGCATTACTGTATTCCCACTGTCTTGAACAATGCCTGGCACACAGTAGGTGCTCTGTGACAGCATAAATGAATTCTGCTGTACAGCAGTAGTGCCTGAAAGTCCAAGTAGTCAATGAGTAGAAAGAGGAATGAACTTGGGAGACGTGGGTGGGGTCACAGAGTCTACACAGCAAAGTAAAAGCAAAGCATTTGGGTGAAGATTCAGTGGCACTAATGTGTTCTCCATTAGGGCTTTTAGTTCACTAGGGCTAAAATGACAGAATGCACAAATGACAAAATACAGATGGTGAAGCCTCTCATAAGATTGGTCTGTTAGCATTGGTCAACTGATGTCAGGAACCAAACTCAATGCTCAATTCAGGTAAAAAAACAAAACAAAAACAAAAAACAAAAAACAAAAAAGAACCAAGCACAATGTTTTGAGGCCACAGAGGGAGGTGAGTCAGGGTGAGCCACGAAACTAGGGGGTGGATGGGAAGCTGCATGAAAGCCAGAAAACACACCCAAGAAGATAAGGCCACCTGCCAGATGCTTGCCCTGCAAAGGAGGTACAAGAACACATGGGCGACTTTTTTTCCTGTTTTTATGATTTTCTTGTGATGAAATTGGGACTGTACAGCATCTTTCACTGGGTGTGAGAATGTAGTTAATAATCTGGACTAATCAGGCACACGTGGCCTGGTCCACACACACACAAGCACAAAGGAAACATGGGCACCAGATGCCAGGGAGCTTGAAATTCTAGGGCTGACCCCGCTTCCCCACCCCTGGCCACCTTGAATGCAAACCACATGATTTCGGAAGGCCTTTCCACCAATGCCCTTCTATGATGGACAGCCAGTTAGTTCCTAACTCACAGGAACTAAAACAGCTCGAAATGTTTATCTAGAAATACCACTGTGGTACATTTTTCTTAGTTTCTTAATGCATTTTTATTATTTGAGTACAGTTATTGCCTATCAATAAAAAAAAATCTTAGTTATCAGTAGATAATGATGGCAAATGGGCTATTATTACAAACAGGGTGTCTGCTCATTAGTTAAAAGCACCAAAAGCACCCTGGAGCTAACATTCAACATTTGGAATTGTGCTCAGTCGGTTTCTTAGGTGCTCTGATAGGACATGTCAGAGACAACAAGCTTTTTCTTTGACCTGTTATATCTGAAAGAATATGACTGTGATTTTTGGCTGTAGAACTTCTCTTTGGTCCCCTGAGTTTCCACATCTATAAACTTTGGAGGAGTGGTAAAAGCTATGTCTCTACCCAGGGTCAAAAGATACAAGAGTCAACCTCACATTCAGTCCTAAGAAGCGGTCTTCCTGCTACAGGTGGGGCCTTCCCAGCAGCAAGAAGGGCACCAGGCACAGACAGATGCTGTTTCCAGCCCCGGCTGGTTCCTAGCTTATGTTTCCCTGTGGTGTCTAAAAATGAAGAAGGCTACATGGAGCTACTGTGGAGAGAGTCTGGATAATCTCTATTCAAACATATTCTTAGTGGCTTTGAAGAAAAAAGCTGGATCTTCAAATTAACAACTTCTTCAAGTTCTCCAGTCTGACTCCTCTTTTGTGGTCAGAAAAACAGAGTCCTGATTAGCAGGCCCCATTTACCTCTCTGCATGCCAGGTGCTATAGGCTATGAACTTTGTGCCCACAGCCTCCTGTGAGCCTCCGTTACCCTCTGGGAAGCAGAAAACACTCATGCTCCATTTTATGGAAAAATTTCCATAGATATGGAACTTATCGACATGTATACAAGGGAGGGAGAGTTATGAAAAGCCTACTGGCCTTACATATGGCTCCCATTCCCACTCTGGCCCAAAGCTGAGGTCCGGAACAACTCTTAATGATCATATCAATAAAGTGAGGACAAGCACTTGGTTGGCAGTGAGGAGACCCAGCATATGGAAATTAGATGGTCCTTTGAGAATGAACTTAACATGAACACTTCAAAGACCTAATGCACGGAGAAGCCAAATTATCTCAAAGAAACAGAACAAATCCTCAACCAGGAAGGGGCAGCAGGCACCTGCTGGTACATCATTAGCATCTATTTAAAACCATAACTAACTGTAAGTAACTTAATGTGTCTCTCCTCCATAGACTAAGTCTGAGAGAATAGGAACTAGGCCTACCCTTCTGTCCCTGCATCCCCAGTGCCTGGTCCCACGGTGAGTACCCAAATGAATGAATAGGATGGAGATGGGGAAAGAAGGCATTTATCAAAGAGCTTGGCCAAGGAATCCAGAGAAATGAGGATGCTCCATAGTCCCCATCGAAGCCTTGATCGGCAGAGGGCAATTCTATGAGGAGTCAGCTGCTGTAGCTGTTGCTGCAGGCCTTCCCTGGAAGTAGAGAGCAGGCTGCTCATACTTATTGTGAACCCTGCCTGCCACAAGTTGGTTTCTCCAGGAAAGGACATGACCTTCTAATATGGCCAGAGCTGGAGCCAGAGCAGGTTGGACAGGTAAAGAAAGTTCTCCCAGAGGTCTGTCAGGTCAGGCCATGGCCACCCCAGATTTGAGGGGCAGGGAGCTTAAACCTCCAAGTTATAAGATTTGTTGTAACTTTTCCTTAGAACATCTACTTTGCTAGGTTGTTTTAAGGATACAGGAAATGAAAAGGTCCAACACAAAGTGTATGTTTGATGCACAGTACAATTAGTGCTCTGTAGATAGACATCCAACCAGTGACTGCTCCTGTGGAGCTTATAGCAAGGAGTCCATGAAAGAGCTAAATGAGTTTATTCAGCTCATGAGCCCTCATGTCTGCAGTAAAGAGGCTACATCTGAGTTAGCAGGAATGCCTGGGACAGCTGGTGGAGACGGTGCAAGATGGTAAGTGTTGAATCAGCACCAGAGACATCCTGCCCTCTTTGGAGGGTGTGGTCTGAAGTGCTTGTTGTCATAATGACCAGAGGACGGCTGCAGCTCTAGTGAGCAGAGGCAGCACCTATGATGTGCTCAATACCTCTGCAGGGCACTGCCCTACCCCAAATAGGAGCAGCACCCTGAGGACAGATGCTGAAGACAGTGAAGTGGGGATGGGCTGCAGGAGTTCAGACACAAGGGAGGAAATGAACAGGGCTGCAGGATGGTCACCAGGAGATGAGTGTGCAAGGCCAAACCCTCAGTTACTTACTTTCTGTTTGGAGTCAAAGGCCAGGTTGGTCGATCCAGAGAGATGAGTGTTTCTCTGGCCTGTAGTTAATTATGTTATGTTTGTTCCTGGTGCCACTTTGCTGTGACATTTGCCTTGAGGTGGCGGCTCCAGTTTGCTGGTCAGTGTCCAAACCCAAACCCAAGACCCAGTATGTGGTTTAGTTACGGGATTTGCTTGGGTTCCTTTTCTGACCTACCTTTTTGCAAAGGCCAGCATGACCCTGGTGGATGTGGTGGACCCTCTGTTTTTCTTGTTCTATAGTACTGGACAAGGTGACAAAACGCACATTTGGAAAGAGGCAGACA